ATTCCCCACAGGGCAGCTGTAACACATAAATGATCAGGACATTCCCTGCTCCAAACTTCTCAGTATTTTCTATTTTGTCCTGTTCAGTTTTAGTTTTTTAAAATAACCACCAACAGGTTGTGACTTGTAGTTTCCAGTTGGCAAAATACTCTTAATTCCCTTCCCCAAAGGTAACTGCTGTTACTGGTCTACTCGGGGTTATTCTGGTTTAATGTTATATCTGTACAGCACACTTGCTTACTTTTATAAAAATAGGCACATAATATAACTTACATGCCCTTTTTTCTTATCAATATACCTTATACTGTAACAGCACCTGCTTTTTCACAGCTGTATAGCAGTCCTCTGTGGACTTTTTGTCTGATATTTAGCCAGTTCTCTAGGGACAAACCCTTAAATTATTTTTCAGCTATTAGTTTGCACACACAATGTAGTGTGGGTCCCTTGGCAAGCTTTTGGGAGTATATTTGTAGTGTATGTTCTTAGCAGTGGAAATGCTAGGTTAAAATGAATGTGCAGTACTGCATTTCAGTTTGGGATGATGAAACGTTCTAGAGATGGATGGTGGTGACGCTTGCACAACAGTGCAAATGTACTTAATGCCACTGAACTGTACACTTAAAGATGGCTAAAATGGTAAATTTTATGTTGTATATATTTTACCACAATAAAAAAGAGGATGTGCATGGTGGCTCACACCTGTTATCTCAACACTTTGGGAGGCAGAGGTGGGAGGATCACTTGAGGCCAGGAGTTCAAGATCAGCCTGGGCAACATAGCAAGACCCCATCTCTACAAAAAATTTTAAAAATTAGCCAGGTGTGGTGGTGCATGCCTGTAGTCCCAGCTACTCAGGAGGCTGAGGCAGGAGGATCACTTGAGCCCAGGAGTTTGAGGTTGCAGCGAGCTATGATCAGGCCTGGCCTACACTCTAGCCTGGACGGCAGATGAGAGACCCTATCTCTTAAAAAAGAAAAAGAAAAAGAAGTTAATTTTGGTAGATATTACCAAATTGCTCTCTTTATGGTTTTTAAAATTATTATTCAGAAGAAATATATGCTTATAAAAATGGGAGCAATATAAAAGTACGTAGAGTAAAATGTTAAATTTCTCCTTCAAATCCTAATTGCTACTGCCAATTTGGTGTGTTCCCCTCCCCCATGCCCCTGTATCCCTACAACTTCAGTATATATACAGATACACATGGCTAGGGCTTTTGGCAGTGTGGGGATTGTATTTTTTCTAACAACAATGGGACTTGCCAGGCGCAGTGGCTCACGCCTGTAATCCTAGCACTCTGGGAGGCCGAGGAGGGTGGATCGCTCAAGGTCAGGAGTTCGAGACCAGCCTGAGCAAGAGCGAGACCCCATCTCTACTAAAAATATAAAGAAATTAGCTGGAAACTAAAAATATATAGAAAAAATTAGCCGGGCATGGTGGCACATGCCTGTAGTCCCAGCTACTCAGGAGGCTGAGCAGGAGGATCGCTTGAGCCCAGGAGTTTGAGGTTGCTGTGAGCTAGGATGATGCCACGGCACTCTAGCCCGGGCAACACAGTGAGACTCTGTCTCAAAAAAAAAAAAAAGAGACTGTGTTAAGCTGTTCTACAGCTTTCTTTCTCTCCTGGTGATATATCCGGGAGGTTTGTCCAGATCAGGAAACACAGATTGACCTTAATCTTTTTAAGGACTGCAGAGCATTCCATCATAAGGACCAGAATTTCCAAATCAACTGGGTTGGCATTTTTCAACAGGACCTTATTCATTCCAGAGGGAGAACAGACAGGAAATAATGACAGGAAATCATAACAGCCCAGGAACAGCCCTTTTTCAAAGGGCAGATTGTGACCAAAGGGAGCTTTGTAGGCAACTCCCTTGATTTCCTGTGGACTCCACAGGTAACCCCTGACACCCATTGGGTGAGAGCTGCCCTTCCTCCCTCATACTCTTCCTTGTACCCCAGGCGGGTTTAGCAATAGGAAGATCTGGGGTAGCTTAGGTGGGTTCTGGATCACACTGCCGGGCTGGAATCTGCGGTGTAGACCGTGAGCAAGTCACATCACCTCCCGGAACTTCAGTCTTCTGGTCTATAAATCGGGGGCAATGTTGGTATTACTGCTTACCTCATGGTGTGTGGCAAGGGTTCCACTAGATAAGGTCAGATTTCCCTCCCCCGTGGTGTGCCCCATTGCGGTAAATGCCATGACCGTCCACACTGCTCCTCAGGCTACACCCCAGACTCACCCTTGGCTCCTCTCTTCTCCGCACACCCCACAGCCAATCCGTGGGCAAGGGCTGCCCATTCTACTTTCCCCACGTGGCCCGTCTTGACCGCTTCCTGTCTATTGCACTGGCCTCCACCCTCTCCCTTGTCGGTCTGTTCTCCGCAGGCAGCCAGAGGGAGCCTATTAAAACCCTAAGTCAGATCCCGTCTCACCTCTGCTCAGAGCCTCTCGTGACTTCTCATCTGGCTCGGAGTGAAAGCCAAAGTCCTTAGCTTGGCCTCCCAGGTCCTCCCAGCTGCCTCGCCATCCTCACCTCCTGCCTCATTCTCCCTCCACGCCCTCTGTTCTGGCCACACTGGCCTCCCCGTCGTGCCTCAGACATCATCCAACGTGCTCCTACCTGGGGGCCTTTGCACTTGCTTTCCCTTCTGGGCTGGGACCCTCTCCCACGTCTCCACGAGGCCCGCTCCCTTGCAACTGCAGGTCTCCCCTCACTCCCGACCACCCTATCTAAAAGAGCCCCTCCTCTCCCTGGCAAAGCAAAGTCCTGAGGAATGAGAGAGGCTTTTTTCCCCCCAGGCCACCTCCCTAGAGGAGCTGCTACCCTGAGGGGCCCAGTGGGGACCCTGTGCTCCTCATTCGGACTCCTTAGGGGACATTCGCTCTCCCCCCGTTGGTCTCCTGCAGGCGAGAAGCCCTACAAGTGCTCAGTGTGCGAGTCTGCGTTCAACCGCAAGGACAAACTGAAGAGACACATGCTGATCCATGAGCCCTTCAAGAAATACAAATGCCCCTTCTCGTGAGTAGAGACTGCGGTGTGGGTGATGGGGGCAGGTTCCTCAGATGGACTGCTGGGGAGGGTGGGTCAGAAAGTCAGGCCTGAGGGCGGAAGGCCTCTCTCCTTTTATCCCTGGGCCCTGCCAACCTCGCTCTCCATCCTACTTCCTTGCCCAACCCTTAGGGTAGACAAGGGTGTCCCTCATGCCCAGGGATATTGGAGGGGCCAGCAAGAGGGTCCTAAGCTTGGGGAGCTCCCCTTGACCATGGCTTTGGGTTTTAGGGCGCACACAGGCTGCAGTAAGGAGTTCAATCGGCCGGACAAGCTGAAGGCTCACATCCTCTCCCACTCTGGTAAGGGGCTCGTGGGCCTGCCGGGAGGGTCTGGTTCAGCTCAAGGTCCCGGGGGCAGACCCTCCAGGAGGAGAAAGAGCAGATACATCCCATAAGGCTTATTTTCTTTGCATGGTACATTCCAGCCAACAGACCTTTGTTCATGTGGCCTATAAGCCAGGCCTTTGCTGGGGACCTTCGGGTGAACAGAGATGAATCAGACACCGTCCCCCAGTCCAAGGAGGAAGCTGACTTGAGATAACTAAGCCAGAGCAGAGCCCAGTCTGATAGAGTGTGGATCGGGTGTGGATCAGGGGATCAGATTCCAGATACGTCCAGGATCTGGCCAGGCAGGTGCCTTGGTGGGGCAGAGCAGGGTCTACAGGCCACTCCTCAGTTTCCCAGGGGCTCCCCCGAGCAGCTCGGCTGGCCTTCCACATGCCAGTTGGTCTTGCACAGGGTTTTTCAACCCTGCCACCAATGACATTTTGGGTTAGATAATTCTGTCATGGGGGCTGTCCTGTGCCCTGTGGGATCTTTAGCAGCATCCCTAGTTACCCACTAGGTATCAGTGGCACTCCTCCCCCCAACACATTGTGACAACCAAAAATGTCTGCAGGCGTTGCCAAAAGTCCTCTGGGGGTACAGTCACCCCTGTTTGAGAACTGCTGGTTTACAGAAAGGATTCAGTGACTAAAGAAAGTTTGAAAACTGGGAGAGTAGATCACGGACTTGGAGACAGAGGGCCTGGGGTTGAGTCTTGGTGCTTCCGCTTTCCTGCTGGGTGGCCTCAGGCAAGTCACCTCCCCTCTCTGAGCCTCCATCCCAGGGAGGCTGAGGGGCCTGAAGGCATTTGTGAAAGGTGCCTGGTCCAGATTGAGTGTGGGCTGGAGTTGACTTCATGGGAGTCCTGGAGGCACCAGTGATTCATTCAGTGAGTGACTCTTGGGAACTGACCGTGTGTCAGGCCGTGGCTGTGCTGAGAGCATCAGGCAGGCCGAACCCTACTCTGCCCTCTCGGGGAAGCCTAACATATTTAGTGCAGGAGACTGAAAATAACCCATGAAGGGATAAATACATAACAGCACAGTACACTGAATGCAAAGACAGAAATAAACATGGTGACAGGCAGAGCATGAAGGGTGCAGGCATCAGGGAAGCCCCCCTGAGGAGGTGACAGGACAGCTGAGTCTGGAGGGATGAGAAGAGCCAGGAAATAGCTTTCCAGGGTGAGGACTGGCCTCAAGGCGGGGAGGGACTGGGGGTGTTTAAGACAAGGAAAGTTGGTAGGAGGCCTGGAGCGCAGGGAACAGGGGCAGAGGACATGGGGCTGAGAGGTGAAGGTCAGACAGTACCACGCCTTGTGGGAAGCTTAGAGAACCAGTCGGGAGTTTGCACAGGGAATGTCATGGTCGTGTGTGCGTGTGTGTTTTACAAAGACGTCCCTAGCTGCCCTGTGGGGACTGGTCTGAGGGGCCCAGGGTGAGGCAGGCAGACCACTGAGGAGGTTGCTGCCCTAGTCATCCAGGTAAGAAAGTCAGCCAAGGTTGAGGGATTGAGCAGAGAGGGAATCAGCAAGTGCAAAGGCCCAGGGGCAGGAGCCAGTGTGTTGCACGTGAGAAGAGTGAATGTGGTTGGGAGAAGGTAGGAGGTGAGCGTGAAGGGCGCTGGAGCCAGATCCCACAGACGCTCGCAGGGCAAGAGACTGGATCCCAGTGCAGAGCAGTGTTGCAGGGTGCAGTGTGGGGTGCTTCTCACTGACTTCCCCTCGCCCCCCAGGCATGAAGCTCCACAAATGCGCCCTGTGCAGCAAGTCCTTCAGCCGCCGTGCCCACCTCACTGAGCACCAGCGCGTCCACACAGGCAACTACAAGTTCCGCTGTGCTGGCTGTGCCAAGGGCTTTTCTCGCCACAAATACCTCAAGGATCATTGCTGCCACCTTGGCCCTCAAAAAGACAAGGACCTGCAAGCCCGGCGGCCCCCCCGGAGGAGGGCAGCTCCCCGCAGCAGCAGCAATGGTGGGCGAAAGGTGGTGACCCCCTTGCCTGACCCGCTGGGGCTGGAGGAGCTGAAGGACACAGGAGCTGGGCCAGTGCCCGAGGCTGCCCCGGGCAAGCCACCCTTCGCGGAGCCGGATGCTGTGCTGTCCATCGTGGTGGGTGGCACGGTGGGCGGAGAACCTGAGCTGGTGGTGCCTGGACATGCTGAAGGGCTGGGCTCCAACCTGGCACTGGCGGAGCTGCAGGCTGGGGCTGAGGGCCCCTGTGCCATGCTCGCTGTGCCTGTCTACATCCAGGCCTCGGAGTGACAGACCTGGGATGTTTGCTCCCACGGGCTGGCCTGATGCTTACGTTTGGGCTCAGGGCTTCTGGGGGAAGACGAGAGAGAGCCTTCCCAATGAAAGTGAGCCATTTGCAGAGGTCCTTTGGAATGTCTTCATAAACCTTGGCCTGTGGCCACTCTCTTGTGTCCCCATCCTGCTGGAAAGCCCTGTAGCATTCTGGAATCTGGGGCAGGACTGCCTGTGGTTTCTGGATGGAGCGATGGCAAGAGAGATGGTTGGAGCCTGAGCAGCCCAGGGTCACCTAAGAGAGAAGACAGGATGGTCCCACCCACCCCTCATCCAGAATGCCTTGGGGTGGCCTCTAGTCAGCGGCTCTTCAGGAGGCCTGACATGGTGGGAGTCGTGTCCTTATCTGTTGGACCTTTTCACAGACCGTTCCTCACAGTGTCCTCAGACAACTCTGTGATGTAGGCTTTCAGGAGGCACCCAAGCATTGTGGCTAGAGTGCAGCTCTGAGCCAGATCTCGCTTCAGATCCAAGAGTTGCCACACACTTGCTGTGTGACCTCGGGCATTTCACTTCACCTCTCTGAGCCCCGTGTTCTTCATCTGTACAATGGGGCTTATGATAGTACTACCTCATAGGGTTGTCATGGGGACCCAGTATGATAAAATGTGCAAAGGGCTTGGCATGGTGCCCAGCATTCAGAAAGTGCTCAATAAATGTTTTTATCACGTGTGTCTGAATGGCTCGGCCTGAGCCTTGGCAGTTTCTTTCTTAGCCCCTAGGTCGCAGCCCTCCTCTTTAAAGCATGTGGGGGCTGAGGGGGTCCCGCGGTCCCTTGCACACTGATAGCCATGAGGAGGTCATAAAGGGAAGAGCAGGTTTGGTGTTCTAGAACAGTTATCACAGAACATGGTCCATGGGAACATCCGGGGGAAGGGGTTTATACTCGCTCGTGAAAATTCGGGATCCTGGGGCTCACCCCACACCCTTTATAATCAAGCTCTGACCAGAGTCAGAAGTCCCTCTCGAGTGGGCGGGTGTCTCTATGACCATCGATGCCCCCACATGTGGCACTCCCCTCCCCCTCCCTAGCTACTCCAGGTGGGAGGCAGGAAGGAGAAAAGGGGCCTTGACCAATGTTTCCCCATTTATCTTCACAGCTACCCTTCTGGGTCACGTTGCCTCCAATACAGGAAAGGTGACGGGGCAGGATGTGGCAGGGTGGTCTGACTCAGGCTGATGGACTGAGTGTCTTTGAAGGCTGGCATGTCCCTCACATCTGTGTTGGCACCCAAGGCTGGAGCTCAGAGGCAGGCCCGACTTCCCACATGCTCAAGAAGGGTACGGTGTGGCAACAGGGACAAGTTGATGGGGTTGGGGTCTTTAAGGGTACCAGCCTGCAAGAAGGCCAGAGGGGGACCGATGGGGACAGGAAGTCTCCGAGGGGATGCCATTTGGGCTGGGCCTTGGCTCGGAGTGCTTTGCTGGATGGACGGATAGGGGAAGGCATGCCAGGTAAGAGCAAGGTGCGAGCAAAGACCCTGAAGTGTGACCGTGCAGTGCCAGTCGTGTTCTGGGGCCAGTGAATGGTCCAGGGTGACCGGAGGTTTTGGAGGTGTAGGTGGATAATGATAATTGCTGATTCTTCACGTCTTCTCCACGTGAGGGACACTGTCACATCACCTCAGCCTATCAGATAAGTGCTATTACTTTCCTTATTTTACAGTTGAGGAAACGTAGGCACAGAGAGGCAGAGTTCCTTGCCCAAGCTCACACAGTAAGCCACAGAGCTGGGATTCAAGGCAGCATGGCCTGCCTCCACGTGCTCTTAGCCACTTTGCTCTGTTGAAATAGAGGTTGATGTCAAAAAAGAGTGAGCCGTGAATGTTGACTTAAAGAATTTGTACTTTCTTCTGTGCATAAGGGAAGAGTCACGGGAGACAGTAAAGATTTTTAAAAATTGTAATAATGACATTAAAGGAAATATTAAAACTACATCTCTGTCCTATGACTATTTAAGTTGTATTTCTGTTGCTGCTTCTTGTCAGTGTACACATGCATGCAAATTTGCCAGAACTAACATTTATTAGGCAGTTCTCGTGTGCCTGGCATTGTCGCAAGCACTTTGAAGTAGATGCTACTTTTAATCCCATTTTGCAGCTGAGGTGAGGCAACAGGCACATCAAGGCTAAGCAGCCCAAAGTCAAGCCGCATGTAAGGGGCAGAGCCAGGTCACAGAGTAAGGGACAAACCAAGATAAGGTCTAATATTTAAAAGATACAGAGTTGGGGCCGGGCACGGTGGCTCACACCTATAATCCTAGCACTTTGGGGGGCCGAGGCGGGAGGACTGCTTGATCTCAGGAGTTCGAGACCAGCCTGAGCAAGAGCGAGACCCCGTCTCTACTAAAAAGAAAGGGGAAAAAAAAACCAGCCAGGCGTTGTGGTGTGCGCCTGTAGTCCTAGCTACGGGGGAGGCTGAGGCAGAAGGACCGCTTAGAGCTCAGAAGTTGGAGGTTACAGTGAGCTACAGTGACACCATTGCATTCTATCCAGGGTGACAGAGACTCTGTCTCAACAAAAACAAACAAGGCAACTGAGGACCCCTCCTCACAACTCCCCACCCCTTAAAAAAAAAGATGTACAGTTGGACTGCAGGGGAGAAAACTGGGATAATATTGGGGATCCCATAGCTGAGCCCTTCCTAGGTTAGCAGATGAGGAGACTGAGGCCCAGAGAGGGGTAGGCCCTTGGCCAGGGATCACAGAGAATTGGTGACAGAGCTGCTCCAGGACCCCAAGGCCCCGCACTGAGCCCAGAGATGCCAGAGGGTGTAGCATAAACAAGGGCTGGCCTGGGCATCAAGGGTCCCACCCTACGCCCACAAAGATCATAGACTTTGGCATCGGACAGAAGTGGGTTTGAATCCTGGCTCTGCCCCTTCCCATCTGTGTGACTGTGGCGAGTCACTTCCCCCCTCTGAACCTCATGTCAATGGGGAGAATAATAGTACCTACCCAACGAGGTTGTTGTCACGATCAGGGAAATAATTCAGGTAAGGCAGAGATCACAGATTGGCAGCCCATGGGTTGAATGTAGCCTACAGACATTTTACCATTGACAATGTTTGAAAAAATGAGCCAACGTTTAAAAATAAATTTAACATGTACTTCCATAATGAAAAGTGAGATGTATTTTCTCTGTTTCAGAAATAAGATGCCTGCTGTTGTGACCCCAACATTACATTAGAGGGGCCAGCAATACAGAGCAATACAGCAGGAAAAAGAAAGAAATCGTGTAAGGATTGGAAAGGGAGAGATAGTAGCAAGGGTGCTAAAATAACAGCAGGATCAATATATACAAATGTACTATGTTCCTATACACCAGAAGTAATTAGAAAATGTAATTAAAAATTGGGACGTAAAAATCTGGGTTTCTTCTGTGGAAAACGGAGGTATCTGGCACAGTGGGGCAGCAGTCAGGTGGAGCGGGGCTAGCCGGCCCCTTAGACGGGCATGTGCATTACAGATGACCATAATCCTGTTCTTCCCTGCCGTCTCTCTGACGTTGCAGCTGCATGTCAGTTGCTATTTACTGTACTTGCGTTGACTTATTTTAGAGTAGAGAAATATTTCTTTTTAAAAAATTTTTTATTTTTATTTTTTAGAGACGGGGGTTGCACTCTTGCTCAGGCTTTCGAACTCCTTGACCTCAAGTGATCCTCCCACCTCGGCCTCCCAGAGTGCTGGAATTGCAGGCGTGAGCCACCACGGCCAACCTGAGAAATATTTCTAAGTTCCTAAATTTCTCAAAAGTAGGAAAACAAGATGGCCAGAAAGGGCCACATGACTTTTCATGTTCCATGCTCACTTTACTCAATCTTACTGTCTGGACTCCGTGAGCATATGGCTTAAAGAGCCCTGTAAATTGTGCTTCCTTCCTGTCTTCTCTTCCAGTCCTCTGTCTGCCTTTAAGCTAGCTGACCTCAGTTTCTCTATCAGCAAATGTGGAGAGTTGAATCATAGCTAAATTTATTGAGTGCCTACTTAGTGCCAAGTTCTGTGCTACATGTCCCTGAATTCTCAAGACACCCCCTGGAGGCAAGCGGTCTTATCATGCCCATTTTACAGGTGGAGAAACAAAGGCTCAGAGAGGTACAGCAACCTGCCAAGGACTCACAGCCAGAATGTATGGAACTGGGCTTGAAACCCAGGACCTACTGACTCCAAAGTTCGTGCCTTGCTTTAGAATCTCTAACGCTCTCACTATCTCTGATGGGTCAGGGTTTTATTTGGAACCATTTTTCCCATGCTCTGACCACTGCCCATCACCTTGGCCACTACTACCCAGTCCAGACTGCCAGCCTCTCTTGCACGGACAGCTGCATCAGCCTCTCTCTGGTCTCCCTGCTTTTTCACTTTCCCCATCATGATCCATTCTCTTTATAGCAGCCCAAGAGATCCTTATAGAGCCTGAATCGGATGGTGCCACTTTGCTGTTTAAAATTCTCCAGTAGCTTCTGATCTCTCCCCAAATGAAATCCAATGTTTTCCCATAGATTTCAAGGCTCTGCACAATGTGGCTTCTACCTAACTCTTCAACCTTGTCTCCCACTGCTCTTTCCTTCTCTCCCTCCACCCCAGCCACACCTGTCTTCTTGCTGCTCCTCCATCAACTGAGCTAATTCCTGCCTCAGAGCCTTTGCACTTGCTATTCCCTCTGTCCAGAATGCTCGTCCTGCAGATTTACAAATGGCAGGCTCCCTTCTTCTATTCACCTTTGCCCGAAAGTCATTTCCTCAGAGAGGCCTTCCTTGGCCAATCTGTCTAATATAGCCCCCATCCCCATCATTCTCTAGTTCCTCCTCCTGTTTTATTTTTATTCATCATCCTTGACATTATGTTAGACATTTCTTTATTGTCTGTCATCTTTACTAGAAACAAAAAGTCCGCAAAGGCAGGGACTTTTGTCTGTTTTGTTTATTCATATACCCACAGTGTCTATAACCACCCAGGAATTGTTCAGTCAATATTTGTTGAATGAATGAACAACAACAGTACTTTGAGAGAACAAGGCCCACTTCACCCATGCCCTCCTCCTACCCTAGGGAGGCCAAGGGTGAGTTTTTCCCAGTAAGAATCTGCCATTGTAGGCTGAGAAATGATTTACCCAAAGTCCTGGGAAGTAATGTCTGATATAAATGACACATTCCTTTGTCTCAAGAGGGAGCAGAGAATATCCAGGACAAATGACTGAGGGGTGACTTGGAAGTCTCAGTTGACAGAGCAGGTGACCCTGTGGCCCAGGAGAACCAGTTGGACCAGTTTTGTCTCCCCTGCAGAGGCAGGGTAGAAG